TCAACAACAAAAAGCCACAAAATGCAATATCAAAATGTCTTAAAAATAATAATGAAAATTTTGGCAAACTTTTAATTACATTATACCAACAACTAGTGATTGAATTTTTGTGATCAATAATTTATTGAAATCATCTTATCAAAACGCATCTAATCGCAATATTTTTATATCATTTGCATTAATGAATAAGACAGTATTCGCAAAAGTCTCTAATCAATAAAATGCCAATATTTATTCGTCTATTGATGCAAAAGATATGAAATTCATGGCTTAGCTGCATCTTGATATAGTGATTTCAATGAATCATATATCGTGAAAATCAAATCACTGGTTCTTATGATAATGCTATTTAACTTTTTGCCAAAAATTACAATTTTATCAATTGTTGTATGTACAAATATCACAACGATTCAATAACCAGTGATTGAATTTTCAAGAGTTTTGATTCCTTGGAATTGTCTTATTGAGTCGCAGCTAATTCAAGAATTTCATGTCTTTTGCATCAATAAGCGAAAAGATATTGGCATTTAACTGTTTAGAGACTTTTATGAATACCGTTCTATCTATTAAGGCAAATTACGTAAAATTTCATGGAATTGATGTGTCTCAATCAAACGATTCCAATAAATTATAGATCATTAAAATCTAATTACAGATTGCTAAGATAATGCTATTTAACTTTTTGCCAAAAATTACAATTTTAAACAATTTTATCAATTTTTGCATGTACAAATATCACAATGATTCAATAACCAGTGATTGAATTTTTAAGATTTTTGATTCCTTGGAATTGTCTCAATAAGTCGCAGCTAATTCAAGAATTTCATGTCTTTTACATCAATAGGCGAAAAGATATTGGCATTTAACTGTTTGAAAACTTAACTGTTTGGAGACTTTTGTGAATATTGTCCTATCTATTAAGGCAAATGACGTAAATTTCATAAAATAGATGCGTCTCAATAAGCCGATTCTAATAAATCATAGATCATTAAAATCTAATCACTGGTTACTGAGATAATGTGATTTAAATTCTTGCTAGAAATTACAATTTTGAACAATTTCATCAATTTTTACATGTACAAATATCACGACGTTTCAATAACCAGTAATTGGATTTTCATGATCTATGATTCATTGGAATTGTCTCATCGATTCACATCTTATTTATGAATTGCAGGTCTTTTTCATTAATGGATGAGAAGTTATTGGCATTTTACTGTTTAGAGAAATTTGCAAATAACATTTTATCTATCGATGCAAACGATATGAAAATAGTGCGATTAGATGCATCTTAATATGGTGATTCAAATGAATCATAGACCATTAAAATTCAATCACTGGTTGTTATGATAATGTAGTTTAAAGATCATGTTTTGGAGCTGTCCGAACACTTTTGGCAGGTTGGTGTATATAAGGTAAGATATATTAAACATTTATAATATATAAGAAATATTGAACATATCTGTTATGTGTAGGATTGAAATTATTTCAAAAATTAAAATTGAAAGTTTAAGTAGTTAATTGATTTTTAAAATGATTAATCAGCTAAAAATAATTTTTGATTTTAGTTTTGCAAATTAAAAATTGGTAAAATTAGTATTAATTTTTTTTTATTTTTAAGTATAAAACAATTATAAAACTTTATAAAATAATATTTAAACAATATTTGTATTATAATCTTTATTTATTAAAAAATAAAAGCTAAAGATGTTAAAAATAAATTAATCAAATATTTATATTTTACAAGTTATAAGTTGTTACATAACATATTTTTAATATTAAGATTATACACAAATAATGATTACTTAAAATAAATTGCTTATTTAAGAATTTGATACACAAAAATAAAAACCTTCAAGAAGTTTTTTATACAGAATACTAATAATAAAATGAATTAGTTTTACTATTATCAATTGTTTAAAATTTTAAGATTTTATTATTTGATATGTAATAAACTGGTAATTCTGTTAGAAAAACCAATTTGTTATAAAATTTTACTATTTTCTCTATAAAAAACATTCTATTTTTTATTATGAATTAATATAAAATTATAAATTTAAAGTTAATTATATCTAAAATTTATTATTGAGAGATTTATTATAAAGAGAGTTGACTGTATTTATTTACTTGATCTATTGATTTTATGTAAATGATTTTTATTTATTAATCAGACTAATAAAAATCAATTTAAAGTTATTATTATTAAATAATTTTGTTAAGTTTGAAATTTAAGATTGTTATTACAATTAACTTTTAACTTTAGCAATTTTCTAATTGATTCTTAATTCTAGTTATGTAAATAAATTATATAAGTATAATATTTACAAAAAAATGTAAAAATTAAATTAATAAACTTTTACTTTTAATTAATCCTATATAATGTATTGCCATTAGTTATTCTTAATTATTATTTTCATAATTAGTTTCGTTATATAAATGTTATGATATTAATATAAGATTAACTTATAAAAACATATTTTTTTTTGACTTGCTAAGAATTGATTAAATGCAAATTATAACTTTAATTATTGATTATTATGAAAAATAAAAGAATATATATCAGATACCAGTATGTAAATCTAAGTTAAAAATTATATGCACAAGTTTATAAATTTATTACTAAATTAAAAAATTATAACAATTTATTATATAAAATTCCTTTTTTGTAATAATTTGTATACATTTTATATTGTATATGTGACACAAAAAATTAATGCAATGTGTATATGTATATATTATGTATATAGATTTTACACACTATCATTAATATTATATATATAATTTTATATTACTTTGTAAGTTTTTTAGCATTTATTTTAGTAAGAAAATATCAAAGAAGCAATTATTATCTATTAGGATTAGGCATAATCAAAATTGCTTTTAATTATAAAATTCAAAATTTAAAGATTACCAAAATCTTTAAAACTTTTTGATTATGTATAATCATTTTATTTATTAATATTAAAAAGATTATTTTTAAAGATAATTATTTTTATCTTTAAAGTTTTGTTAAGGCAAAAAAGAAAATGATTATTAATAAAAAAATCCAATATAAAATAAAATTTTAATCATATATTCAAAGTAAGATTTATGTAAAAATTTCAATTTTAACAGAAAATATCTTGATTATTTTGAGAATTTATAAATATAATATATAATCAAAAACTTAATATAGAAATTTTTTATTATTAATTATTAAAAACCATTTTAATATTATTCTTAATTAAATTTGTTACATTAAATTCTATATTCATTTCGCATGCTTTCAAGAACTCTTTTATGTTTATTAGCAATAACATCACTAAAATACCAACAAATTTTCTTTGAAGATATAAGGATTATGTGTTTTCGCAATTTTTCATCAATTTCGGAAGGAACAGTATCTGTAATAATGAGAAGGATGAATCTATAATTATTATTGTCATTTACTACCTTCTGAATCTGAATAAAATTCATAATTAGTTTTATATCTTTTAATTATTATTATAAACAATAAAATTAGTATCTTTTGAATTTCATTTCTAATTATTGATTGAGTTAATGAGGTAACTATAAATCTTTTATTCTGTCCCATAAGAATTAGATGCTTTGGAAGGTCATCATCAATCTCCATATTGTCATTATCATCATTTTTATATATAAGGTTTTGTGAAAGATTATCATTACTTTGAGATCTTAGGTATGGAAGATCAGGAATTTTGGATAAAAAAGTTGGAATGTTCTTGCTATTAAAAAATGTTACAGCCCAATCTATAGATAGAGCTTTAGGTTTGTTGATTATTGAAACAAAATCTTTATAATCCTTTTCTTCAGCTATTCTCTTTGCATAGCTGATGAAATTTTTTGAAGTTAATGATTTTGATACATAGTGAACTATACAATTTCCTAAAGAGATATTAACATGAATTTTATGCAATGATACATCAGCATCTGATATTGCAGAATAGCTTCCAATAAGTTCTACAAGTCCAACTTGTTCATATTTTAATGATCTTAGCAATATACACGAAATAATAGTATATTTATACTTAAACGTTTTGCATCTTCAGGAGTCAATTCTTTCGACCCCACTCATTAATCAAGGACAATATTGGGCAATCCATTTCTTTTGTCACATATTGAGATATCAAATGCAAATATATGAATGGTAAATGAAGATACAGCCCTGGACAAACTCCACCAACTTTGGCAACTTTTGATGGAAGGAACTCTCTTGAGGATATATCTACTTCTTCACGAATAAAAACCAACCCTTTTTTTACTAACTCATTTACTATTGTATTTCTAATGACTGTTCTCAACAAAACAGGCTTGTTGATAATAGCATAACCATAAACAAGTGGGTATAAATTTTCTTCTAATAATAACATGACTGTTTTAAGTGGACCATCTATCTTATGGAAGTGTAAAGATATCATTCAAAAGATTCTAAACCATGTATTTGAATTAGCAACTGAGAGGGTTTTGTATGCATCTTCGATATTTAAGGGTGAATCATAGAATTTATAAGGAATTAGATCTTTATGATGATGAAATAATGCAGCATAATGTAAGAGCATTTGCAATAGTCTTGGAGGTCCTTCAATATCCTTCAGAACATTTTGAACTGAAGGATTTCCCCTAAGTGAGAGTTTGTCCACAAACAATTCATCCAAGATTTCCATATAATGATTGACCCGAAGTAATGGTAATTGAATCCATTTATAACTAGTTCCATTGGTATTGACTGATTGTTCAAGTAGAGTAACATCAAGTTCTGATAATGTTGGCAGAAAGAGTATTTTATTGTTTTTCATTTGCAGAGATGTAAATTTTGAAATCACTTGTCGCAATTGTTCTTCTTATAGAATTTGTGTTTCATCCATATGTATCAGGAATATGATTGGTAGTTCCTTGTCTGTTGATTCCAATTCATAGAGTATATTTGCTACTCTCTCAAATGGATCTGAATGTTTAAGTACACTTTGATAGGTGTTATCACGTGTTCACAATACTTAATTACTAAATAACAATTTTCTCCAAATAGTACACATACCTTTGGATTTCTTTTAAAGTTTCATTATCAATTGACCCAACTCGGTTCATGTATGCCATGATCAACATTTCAGTAAGGTTTTCTAAGCAAATCTGGTCATTCTTGAACAATAAATTATTAACTTCTATGTAAAGTACTAAGTTTCTCTGATAAATTTTCTGCAGACATTCTCTGAATCATATAAAGACATAAGAGAGGGATTAAGAAAAGAAAAGAGAATAGGAAGCCAGTTAATAAATAAAATGAATTAAACCTAGCCTTCTGCTCATCAGTAGTTTCATTGTTAGGATGTGGACTGTTAGCATAATCCACACGATAATTCATCCACCTCACAATTTCATTTAAAAATCTTGTCTTTCCAATACCACTGGCCCCTCCTATCACTGGAATTATGAGACTCTTTTTGTAGTCATGCTTTGAATATGCACCTTTTGTGTGGTAGGTTTGCCAAATTTCAAATGCATTCAGTACTAATTCCCTGTATAATCTCATCTGTTCCTCACGTTCAACAAATTTGAATCTATTTCCAACTTCTTGTACAGTAGTAACTGTTGATGTAGTGAATGATATGTTCTCATTTGAAACATGTGGTGGAGTTGAACAAGGTGAATTCACATAGGACTTTATTTTCTTTATGATATCTAGAAATAAATTGTTGAGAAAAACATAACCTGCAAAAAAAAAACTCTAACAAAAACTTACCTTCATAATTTTTTTGAACATCGTTATCTATATGGATCCTCTCATTCTCTGCATATTAGACAAAAAGCAAGGATAAATAAATAAAAATGTGGTAAGAAACTGAAAGCATAACAATTTCCATAGTGTAAACTAGTCGAATATATAAATGTTCCCACAATAAATAAATAAATAAACGAAATTGAAACGAATGGAAAATAATTTTTTGTAAAATGATGAGAAAAAAAAAGAAAGTCAATATAGCCAACAGATAATTTATTATGGTTACAATGGCCTTTCTCACTCAAAAAAAAATAAATAAACTAATAAAAAATTATTTTTTGTATATTTTTTATGCAAGCTGGCATTGCTTGGAGCAAAAGGCACCGAAGAGAGAAGCAGTATAAGCTTGGAAATAACGGTTATAAAGTCAAACTAAATATAAAGCATGAAAGAACCTACATTGGATATTTAATTCGTTGATAAAGTCTGCGATTCTCTTTGCAGGTCCTGGTTGTTTGATATTTAATTCATTGATAAAGTCTGCGATTCTCTTTGCAGGTCCTGGTTGCAGTCCATATCGTTCCAACTCAACTTGTTTCAAACTTAGAAAATCATAACCAGCGACTTCCTTATTACGAAGGACATTAAAATGAGTTTCGCTTAATTGTAATTTTTTTTGTTCTCGTAAGAAAGCGATAAGAGTCTCCGTATCAAATTCTTCTATAATTTCAATCGAGGGAACGGACATTTTTTTAAATTAGTGATTATAAACAGGTATTCAATTTTTGAAATTCATGTAACTCTAGTTGAGATTTCCCCCAATTTGTACAAACTAATTATTTTACCTATGTCGGGAAAATTTTTTCTGATTTACCAAACGCCCAGACGCGTATTTTTATATCGCTCAGTCCTACAAGTAATCTTTACCCTAGTTAATAAATAATTCTCGAATGTTGTCAGAATCACAGTGGTAAATATATATTTGTCACTAATTAATAATAATGCAAGCATTCTAATATTTTTTCCAGTGGAGTGTGGTTACATGGGAACAGTTTTATTCCAAAAATTGTTCCAATCAAAGAAGTCGTCACATCGTGATTTGGGAAAAGAACTGAACGTTAATAGAGAACTTGGAATCAAAATCGAGAAGGCGTTAGAGTTGAAGCTCCAATTTTCGAAATTGAAGGTAACAGAAATGTGAAAATATTAACGAGAATAGTAAGTGTGTCTTTTCGTACACAGGGAAGAAGGGAGTGTTTGTCACACCTCTGCGACGTGCACATCTTGCTATGAGATTCTTTGATTAAGGTCTGTTGATTCTAGAGGAGGAATCGGCTACCTACTTTCCTTATGTTAAGAATATTTACTCTCACATCACACTTTGCAATAGTTGCAAATTGAATTAATAATGAGACATAGTAAATCATATGATCCGTAATGTGATTTTACTGGAAACGTTCCCATATTATTAATAACAAATTATTTTAAAAATATTAAATTTGGCTTTTATAAAGAAATATTTTTTATCAAAAAACTTTTATTTTATTAATAAAAAAATTATTGAAGAAATAAGGATGAAGGTGTGATAAAATTTGAGTAAGTTATTTTATTTTCACGTGATTCCGACAAAAAACACGTTTATTTTTTTATTTGATTGGCGTAAGTATAGAAAAAAATTGCTCAAAAGAAAAAAAAAATACATTGCGAAGTAACAACTACATTGCAAATAATTCATAATCATTAATTTTAAAAGTTTTCAACATTCTTTTGAATTCACTAATTCCGATTTGAACATTTTCTTCTTGAGCAGGTTGAATTGTTTGATTACTACTGCTTTTAGCTCCAATAAAAATGGGTATATTATAAGTTATAACAATATCGGTATCATATTTTGGGAGTCTAAATACTGCCAAATAAACGTTCACTAAATTACGAGCATCTGGATCTGTTTCGTTAAACTTTGCTACAGACTGTCTTCCTGTACAAAAATACATTTGTGTGTCAGGTCTAAATAAGTAAAGGTGAAGATTATTTAAGGTTGTAAATAGGGAGAAAAATGTAACAAAAGTGAAGATTTACTTACGGAAGGGTTGGAACTTCTTGTGAGGTTAATTGAGTAATTTGATGTATAGTACTTAAGTCTTCTGCATCATTATCGTTAGCAACAGATTCAAAATGATACCTAAAAAAATTATGAAATAAATTTGATTGTAATACTTTTGTTTTTAATAATTAATCTAATTGCTCAAACCTTGCAGCATCTTCATTTGAAGCTTGATGAATGAATTGTAGTATTTCAATGATAATACTTTGATCCGCTTTCAAATCTGCGAAAACTTCTTGGTTATCCGGTACATCTCTTATATTACTAATTCAAATTGATTCGAATTAACAAAAGACGTACGAATAAATTCAAATGATGATAATGATAAATATATATTATTTACCTGACATCCACAAAGGAAGGAGGAATATACATGGAAATAGCGCCACCAAATAATTCTCTAGACATCCTGATTCTGATTTTCAACAAACCGTGAATACCTTGTCTATTTATAATGGTTTTCGTAACTCACGTTTTTCGCAGTTCCGGACTTTTTTTGCGGCTTGCTGCGGGTCTAAACTACGGATAATAAAACTGTTTGTTTCAATGAGTTAAAATTTTGATTGGCCGACATATGGTGCTTATCTACCTTTGTTCGAATGAAAGAGGCGAATGATAAATTCCGAGCCGTTAAAATTTCATACTAAAATATGAACTAAAATAATGATGGATAGTTATTTATGAATATTTAAAATAGCCAAATGGCGCAGCAACATCAAAAAAATTGAAAAGGTTCGAAAATTGTGTGTCAGTTTTTAAAAACGGGAAGCCCTAAAAATTCATAGTATGTGCTAAAGAACTTAATTATTTTGAGAAAATTCGACGGCACAATAGAATTCTACGCGTTGAAATGATTAATTTTTGTTATAGTAAACTCGATCTGCAGATCAGCCAACATTAAATCAATTGTTGATCCAATTATTTTTTTCATTTTCTTCGTTCAATATGTCGGAAACCTTCGTTGCAAAAACTTTAATGCTAACGCCTTACAAAGTTTCTTTGCTGATTTTAATCGAAGCATACTGGGAGATATTAAAGACAGATTCGTCGAGATTGGACTTACTCGAGCCATTGCTATGCTTTCTTATAGAAAAGATATTGGTAATTATCACAACATTAACTTTTGTTCGTATAATTAAATAAATAATACTTGAATTTTCATAGAATGAACAACGATTTCCAGAGCCTACATTGAAAGAGTTTTGTGAAGAACTTTGCAAAGTATCAGAAGATATGTCAATTAATTTTAAAGAAAGATTATTGGCAAAAGTAATTGAAGTTTGACGCGTCCTTTTCAATTTTTTTGATAATCGCTAATGCAATTCTAATTGTAGCTAGTTGATATTGTCACCCCCAATGAACTCATTTTATTAATTAAAGGTATTTTAAAATTTTTATTCGTTGTTAAATTTAACTCATAATTTTACGCGTTTTTTTTTTTCACATTTAGAAATGAAAAGGCTATTTAGCTCTGAAGACGACTCTGTTAGTATTTGAATTTATATTTTTTATTTTTTATTTTTTTTTTTTGTTTCAAATATTCATTTTCTGTTCAATATTTCATTTTAGGAGCTTTCCCTGGTATGTTTCAATTTTATTATAATTTTCCTATAATCTGAATACGACCTTATATTCAATTTATTTTCAATTTAGAGAAAATATAGCTTATTGGGAATTTTTGTTCGGCGTTGTATCCTCGAAATGAACAAACTGATGTTTGATGATATGAGTCGATTATATAGTGCTTTCATCGAATACAGAGAAAATGTGGTTAAACCTATAGTAGAACAAAGAAACGTACACATGAAAGGTGTTCCCTTCGATGTTACAGAAATGACAGAATTTGCTCAACGTTTTCATATGCATAGACAAGGTATTGTGCAATTATAAATCTTTTTGTTAAATATTTAAGTTATTTCTTATTATGACTTTATATTTTTTTATTATAATTAGAGTTGATTCCTAAAAACGATGCGGAATCCTTTTCACAGTATATTATTACCCAACTTCACAGTATGAAATAGTTTTAATGGGATTTTTTATTTTTATTAAAATAATTAACATCATCTATTTATCTGAATAATCTAATTTTGATAGAATATGGTAGAATTTTACCTTTAGAATTTGAAGAGAAACTTCGAGAAATACACAAGCGAATTCCAGAAATGTCATCAATATATTATATAGAGTTAGTATCACAATGATCTGGTAAAACGTGCTTGTTGTACTTCAATTTATAACATATATGATTTTCTAGATTTATAAAGTGCATCCTAACCGGAGAATATGAAGGAGCTTTGGTCAACTTTTACAAGTATTCAAATTTTTGCCCTGATGATTCAGAAAATAGGTTGTGACCTTAAGAATTTTATATAATTAGTTTAGTTATTGAATTTAGAACTTAGGAAATCTTTTATTTCTATCATAGGGGTTGGTATCAGTATGTTTTATTAAATTTAGTGGTACTCCACGCCAAATTTGGACATAAAGAACAAGCAATATTGGTTTGTATTTAATTTTTATGTATGAATTTAAAATACCGTTCTAATTCTGATTCAAATTAATAATAGGCCATCCGAGAAGCAATCGAAATTGCTCGTGAAAACAATGATCAAGAGTGCCTTCGCCTTGCTTTAAGGTAGCATTCTTTATATTATTAATTCTTAATTTGTCTTATTACATTTTTACATGATAATTTTTTTTGAAATCTAGTTGGTTGTATCGATTAAAATCATCCGATCCGTCAACAGAAACTCAAACTAGTGCATCCGAACAACAAATGTTGGAATCACTCATAAGCAAAACAAAACACTCGAATTTTATGTACTTGCAAGCTCTCGGAGAACTAGGCAAATCACAACGACAAATTCAACAGGTAATAGAGTTTTTTTTTATTGAAAATTTTTCTTGGAGAATTTTTTTTCTTTTTTTTTAAAAAACAAAATCTTTATATGTAGGGATCTCCACCAACTGAAGTATTCGAATCATTACTTCGGAGTTCTGTTTTGAAAATGAATTATCCATTTAAAACAATGCAATTTCAAGGACACTTGTTGAATGCTGGTATTTGGCAAACTTATGGTATTCATTTTATCCGTTTGATAATATCCTAATTTTGAATTATGATTATTGGCGTATTTGTGATTGAATTTTTGTGGATTTGTAGGTAGCGAGACATTAGCAAATTTATTTACTCATGGAGTAATCAATAATCCAGATCCTAGTCCAGAGGACCGTGTGGTTGCTATATGCCAACTTGCAGATAATGTAAATATATTTATTTATTATTTCGACGTTTCAATTGTATACTTATTCTAATTACAAACGAAATTTTGCCTTTAATAATATCAGCATATCTCGCATGGTAATTATATGAATGCTTTCGAAATCCTTGCAAAGTCAAAGGCACATTTCGATGGTATAAGAAGAGCAATGTCGCAATGGGTTTTTTGCTTTGAAAAATTAATGTATCAAAAGAGTCTTAATAGGTGAAATATATTCTTGATTATTTAAATTTGTTGCATCTGGCATAATTAATTCGTTTAATATAATAGGGATGAAAATTTCAATATTGGAGCCATCGAACATCAAATTCGCGCCTGTTGTCAAGATAACGATCTTTTCCGTGCAGATTTTGAATTTAATCGAGCACTTTATCTAGCAAAGACTGATCGACCGGATGAGGTAAACGTTTTATGTTTCAAATGTATGACATTGTAATATTAATTCAGATTTTTCACTTTAAATTTTAGGGTGAGGACGTACTACACAAATTAATCGAACAGAGTTGCAGAATAGATAACCAGAACCAAATGTTGGTAGCAAACTATTTGCTCAAAATTGCTGAAATTCGCATAGTATGTTTATTTGAATTATACTTGAATTTATTATAATTGAGGAATAATATTAATTTTCTTCGATTTGCTTTATAGGAGGCGAAAGATTCTACTTCTGCCCTCCCTTATGTTTTAAGTTCCCTTTGCTTAAGTGAACGGTTTCATTATCAAAGTAGTTATTTTCTTGCTATTATACGACTCGCGCAGATATTACTTAATTTTGAATTGGCTGGTAGGGCAAAATCGATGATTGAGCAAATTATGCCAATGGTATGTTGTAAAATCAATTCAGTTTCGATGAAGAAGATCAAAATTCTCAGATTCATCAGAATTTTAACATTTTTTAGATCCTTGCGGAACATTCGCTTCATCTGCAGTCAATTGCACAATACATATATGCACAGTGCTTGATTGCATGCATTAATCAAGATTTTCAAGGTTTAAAATTTTATACTTTTCAATAAATTTTGTCTTAAAAAATTTTTTTATTTACTATGATAAATTTTACATAGCAAATCGAAAACAAACTATCAATTGGCAAGATATATTAGGTGCACTTGACGCTTCGCGAATAGGATTCACATATTTAGAATCTATTTCAGAATTGCTTAATGTACTTCAATTAATGTCGTATGTTTACAACGTCAAAGGTGACTTTATTATGAGAAATAAGCGTGCGGAAGAATTTAAAAATTTAATATTACTACAAGAGAAAAATAACAAAAAGCAGCCGGATTGGAATTTAACATATTATTCTCGTTGTATAAAAGAAAGTCAATTACAATAAAGTCAATAATATATATAGTACACGTTAAAATCGTTAGTCATCACATTTTTTCCTTCCATATATTTATTTATTTAATTTCTTATTCCATAATTTTTCATCAATAATGTAAAAAAGAATGTGTAGTATTAATTAATAACTTTAAGAAATGCTTCATTAAATTCATTATACTGTAACAATTAATGACTAATCTTAAAAATTTTTTTTATCTAATTAAATCATAAAATTATTATATATTTATAAAATTAATTTGAAATTTTTATAAAAGTAAATCAAAGAAAATTTATAATAAGCCTTTGCAAAAGAAATTTTTATTTTTATTTTATTTTTTTTATTAACAGTCATAGTGAGTGGTTTCTGCATAGCACTAAGGCCTTTTTGGCAATTCACACTAAGGACTGATCCAGATTTTGCCAATGATACTTGGAATTAAGCACTTAAGAAAGTTTTGATACCTCTCACTGATTACTAACAATTCAGAACCACATATCACTATATGACTAAGAAATTCTATCAGTATTATTTTTATCTAACTAATGCTGTAAGGTTCATAGAAATATTATCACAAAATTTGCTCAAATAGTAAACTAGCAAGATGATGATCTAGCCATATTAACAAATATCTTAGGAATTGAACCTAACCTCAGATCTAATGATATACTCAATTAAATAATGTTATAGCATATAATGCAATCTATTATCACTATTGATCTAATCTACTAATTTTTTAATTAATCACTTTCTTAAACTTTTATTAAGGGTTCCTATATCTATTATAAACCAATCAG